CGGACACACTGGGGGTAGGTCCTACATAAACACCACCGGTTTGTTTATGGGCTCCCCGGGAAAAGGCTGGGGGGCTTTCCGTGTGTGCGTAACACAGACAGAAAACATTCCCAGCGCCTCCGCCTCTCCCCCATTAGGGGTAGCGTGGCTCAGGGAGTAGGGCACCGGACTGGGAGCCAGGATGCCTGGGTTCTGTTCCCAGCTCCACTGCTCACGGGCTGGGCCAGTCCTATCTCCCCTCCCACCCTTTGTTCATCTCAGCTGCGTAGGGCTGTAAATCCCATTCTACACGCCAGGCAGTCTCGGTGCATCAGGATGAACAGTAACAGAGGGTCCGGTGGCACCTTTAAGACTAACAGAAGTATTGGAGCAGAAGCTCTCGTGGGTGAATGCCCAAGCAGGATGAACAGGACTCTAACGTTCATCAAGAAGAACACGTGGGAGAAAGCTGGGAGGCAAGGACTGGCTCTGTGCAGCGCCGTGCGCAGCGGGGCCCGGGTCTCCGCTGGGACGAGGATGGACGCTCACTGTCTGCGCAGCAGCGAGTGTGGATAGGGCCCTATAAATGCACCCACACCCCACGGAGTCCGTGCCAAGGCACTGGTGCCCTACGTGGTTTGACGAGTCCCACCCAGGGTACGTCTCGGCAGCAGGGCTGTTGCAGCAAACTAGGTGGCTGCCTGGGGCGCTTAAAAGCCGGCTCAGGCGAGGAGGTGGAGTGGAGGTGAGCTGGGGCGGGGAGGGCTGCCCGCAGTAACAGGGGGGTGCACAGGGGAACCGCTCCCCGCCCCAGATCACCTCCACTCTGCCTCCTCCGCTGAGCACACAGCCCCCGCTCTAAGTCTCCTCCAATCGGCGCCGCAAGGAGGAGAACTAGAGCGGCACTGGCGGAGCGGGGGTAGCTGCTGTGGGTGGGGCTCCCCAGGCAGCGGGGGTGGCGGGCTCCCCAGGTGGGGGGCTGGGTTAGCCACCGCAGGGGGGTGGGGTTAGCTGGGTCGGGGGCGCAAGGGGCGCGAAAATTCCTTGCAGCCCTGCTCGGCAGCAGCTGGCGGACGTACCCAGGCGGCTGCCAATTTCAGTGCCTCATGGCCAGCTGCAGTAGACGCAGCCCTGGAGGGCGACAGGAGCTGTGCAATGGGGGCTCCGGTGCGGGGACTGCGGGGGGCTCCGGTGTGGGGGCTGTGGGGGGGGCCGTCCCAGGCAGAGCTCGCTGGCAAACCCCGAGGCGTATCCTTGCTCTGGACTCGCAGGTTTGCTGGGGGGCCTGAGCAGGGACTCGCTTTGCTCCTGGTTCTTCCGAGCCTGCACTGTGTGCTGAGCTGAGGACTGGGGGGGGGGGGGGACGTACATTGCCGGGGGCTGGGATTGCTGAGCGGCATCCCCAGAGGGGCACGGTGCCCTCATGCCCCCAGCCTCGCTAACGGGGCCAGCTAACGCCGATCTGTGCCATTCCAGAAATCCCTGGCCTTAGCACCTCCTTACAAGTGCGACAACCAAGTCCAATTCCTTACACGCTGCGGTGTTATCGGGGGTGGGGGGCGGGCCGCACACGCTGGGGTGTTATCGGGAGGGGACGACTGGGCCGCACACGCTGGGGTGTTATCGGGAGGGGACGACTGGGCCGCACATGCTGGGGTGTTATCGGGAGGGGACGACTGGGCCGCACATGCTGGGGTGTTATCGGGGAGGGGACGACTGGGCCGCACATGCTGGGGTGTTATCGGGGGGGGGGGGGGGGCTGCTTGAAATATTCTCTGGCTCCATTCCAGCCCCCTGGCAGCCTAATCAGCGACCAGACGATATCCCAGCCTGCAGGGACCACCCGGCGCAGCCCCTCCTGTCCGACGGGGCTCTGGAGCCTACGGGAAATCACTGGAGAACAACCATCAAATCGTTGCTCCGGCGCCTTTCACCCCAGGCGATACAGGAACCTTTTGCTGATGGCCTCCCTGGAGGCTGACGTGCAGCCAGCTCTGGGGTGGAACACGGCTGCTGCTGAACGGTGCACAGCAACGCCGCGTGGCATGTTAGGACAAGGAGCGCAGAACGACATTTCTGGTGCGATTGGGGCTCGGGTCCCTGACTCCATTCTCCAAGGGGCTGCCTGGGGGAGGCGGGGGCTAGGGCCGCCCAGCCCTTCCCAGCGGGAGATGCCCACTCATGCTAATGTGCCCTCATTACTCGGGCGCTCTAATGGAGACGGAGATGGTTGGCAGAGATTAGCGATTGTGTCCGGATGGGCAGACAAATGAATGCCGGCCTGGGGGGACGCACGGAGCACGGCAGGAGAGTTATCTGTGCCTGTGCTGGGATCAATGCTATCACCATCCCCGGGCGCGGGGCCGGCTCGCTCCGGAGCTGCTCCCCGCTGTGGATTTATAGCCATCGACCGGGCCGGCCCCCAGGAGCAGCCCCCGCGGGATTCGATCCCTGGCTCGATTTCAGGAGCTGCACAAAAGCCCCAATCAGCTGTGCACAAAGAGAGGCCTGCGGTTAATTAGCGCCCGTATCTCAGCCGGGCCAAATGGAGATGGAGTTAATTAGCTCTGGAGAGAGAGATAATGAGCCCCACGCAGCAGCTCATGAATCTTGTCTCCTGCGCTGCCTCTCCTGGGCACCCAGGGCTTGGAGGCAGGGCCCACGCGGCTCCCCGCCCCCCGTCTACCCCCCAAGCTCCCCAGCCTCCGTTCGGCCCCATGCCATGACCCCACCATCAGCCCCATCCCCCAGATGTGCCCCGCGTCCCCGGCACCAGCGCCCTCGGCACGCTCACGGGGCTGGGGGGAGGGGGGGTCAGCAGTAGGAGCACCAGGACTTGGGGGGCAGGCGAGGAGTGGCTGGTTTCTAGTGACGGCCGCCGAGCCCTGGGGAGAGCAGCTGCCGGGCAGGACCTGACCGGAGGGGATGGGAACAGGCAGGCCCAGCGGGACGGGGTGGCACGTCCTGACCTCGGGCCTTTGCCAGGCAGTACCTGTGCAGCTGGGGGCAGGGGGCGAGCGAGGGGTTCATCACAGCCACAGGGGGACTGGCCAAGGGGTGGAAATAGCCAGTCCCCTTCCTGCACCCCCCCCCACATGCCTGTGCCCCACATGCCTGGCACTGCAGCCGACACTCCCACCCCAAACGCCGCCCTGCGGGGAATCGCCCCGGGCTGCCAGCAGCTGAAGAGGCAGCCACGCAGTTCCCATTTTCTCCAGCAGGGGGCGGCGGTGCGCCCAGGCTCACCCTGGCCATGGCCAATACGTGACCCAAGCTGGCCGGGTCTCAGCCCAGAGGCCATTTCCTGCCCCACACCAGCCACAGCCCAGTCGCGCTAACCCGGCCCCGCACTGGCCACCGGGCAGAGCCCAACCTCGGACTGGGCTGTGAGGGAGGCCAGTGAGGGGCCGGCTGGGCCAGGCAGCGTGTCGGGGAGTCAGAGCACCCTCCCCAGCACGGAGCGATACAAGGCGAGGGGTATTTGGGGCCACCGAGAGCCTGGCATGGAGCCCCCCCCTCTCCCCCGGAGGTCTCACTAGCAGCCAGGCAGCCCCTTCTCCCGGCCAGCCCCTTAATTAGCACGACATTAACCTCTGCCTGGGGCTCTGCCGCATCGAGCGGCATGTTCATTAATCCAGCCGCCAGCAAAGGGCTCGAATTAATACAGGCCAAGCCCCCCCCCCCGAGCGCTGGGGAACCTTTTAATTGTTCCAGGGCTGGCTGGGGGAAGGGGGGGGTCAAAGGTTAAAGCATTTATCGAATCACCTCAATTGCTGGGGCTTCCAATCCATCCCGCCCGGTGCCAATAACAGAACCCGCCGAGGACTGTGAATACGGCACAGCCGAGCGCCCCAGCCCGCGCCAGCCCTTCGCGGCCACTCCGCACAGCTCCTTCCCCATGCTCCGCCGGTGCCCCTCACTCCCGACCCGCAGCCCCCCAGCTCCGCCGGTGCCCCACTCTGCCGACCCGCAGTCCCCCAGCTCCGCCGGTGCCCCTCACTCCCGACCCGCAGCCCACCAGCTCCGCCGGTGCCCCTCACTCCTGACCCGCAGCCCCCCAGCTCCGCTCGGTGCCCCTCACTCCCGACCCGCAGCCCCCCAGCTCCGCCGGTGCCCCACTCTGCCGAC